TATGAAAACAGTCACAAGAGTGGAGGTCATTTCTCTCAACTTCTTAATTCATCATGGACCATCGCACACAGCTGAGCAGCCTGTGGCCAACACAAAAGCACCCCTCTGGAGTGGGGGCTGCAGCCCAGCCCAGACTGGACAGCAGGCTTACATGGACAGATGCCTTCATGCACATCCCTTACAGGAGAGGGCTCCTTTTTGTAATATACAGCTGAGCTTGGTTTCCTCTGGGCTTGCTGAAGCCCAGAGATTCTCTTATTTGTTTTAGAAATGATTAAAGTTATACATTACGAATATGATGTAGATAGTCATGTTATACATGTAAGAGCTATATTGTATCTTTTTGCTTACACACTGCTGTAATCCACAAAACATTTCCAGGTAACTCCAAAGCCAAATAAAAGTGATTTTCTTTTGGGGAGGTGTCTCTTCCATTTGCACAGGTAATTTAGAGTTTGTTGTATTATAGATACATATTGTTTTGGGTCTTACTTTGCAACAGCATAACACGAGATGCCTTTCATTCTCCTCAGGTTGGTTAAATCTCGACTTAAGAGGTCCTGCCCCTCAGAAATTGGACTCCTGAAAAATGCAGAACAAGAACAAGAGTCAGAAGAAGAGATGTGATTTTGATGGTTGTCTAGCCTTTCTGGGTGGAATTTTTCTTTTTTCCAATCACTTTTAATCATGGTTTTTGTTATTTCATCTTTTGTTTGGAGGACAACTGATTACGAATAATTCTTAGTGTACTGTTTGTATTTCCAATGTTGTTGAAGTATTTGAATTTAAATGTTTTATTTTTAGGGTTGAAAATACTTTGGATGATAAATTCACTTTGTGCATCAGCCCTGGTGTAGTGGCTCTTCCCAGGTCATTTCAAGTTGGATGCCCTCATTACGAAAAATACTTGTTTTATCTGCCTTATAGATGTATCTGCTCAAGTTTCCTGGGCTTGCTACTATTTGTAACTCTTAAAAATGGATTTACACTCATCTGTATTGTTGCCGCAATGAGAAATTAATGAATGTACAGGTCTTGGTTCAAACACCTCAGATATCTATTTTGTTATTCAACTGTGCTCTGCCTTTGCGTCAGAAAGAAGCTTTGTGATACTGAAGTCCCTGTTTGTGAGCCGTCTCTTTCTGTGGCACTGCTTTCTCTCCTGGGAAAAGTGAGCCAGTTGTCATCCTGAGTCGTGCACTCGTTCAGAGATGTGTGGGCTGATCCATGGCTGCAAAAGGACACACGGTGGCAGAGCCCTGAGAATTTGGGAGAGGAGAGTAAGGATGTTATCCATGGAGTAAAAAGTCATCCCACAGCATAGTATGGCCACCATGCCATCCCCTCTGCTGAAATAATGGAAGGGTTAAAATAAGGAAACACCCTTTAGGGAATTGCTGGGTGAAAATTCAGAGCCCTTACCTTACCTCGTCTGCTGTGGACTAAGTAGTCCCAGTTGAAGAGTCAAGTCTTGTTTCTAATTCTGGCTCTCTCATTAACCAGCCTCTGGGGATTCACCATTTACCCTGTCCCTCTTTCTGAAGTTAGGGGTTGAGTTGGAGGAATCATGGGACCCTCTCTGGCTGTTACGTTTTAGGAATCTAGAATCTCTGAGATGAAACTGAAGCTAATTTAGTAGGATGTTAGTCAGAAAGGCCAGTCCTTGCTGTGATGGAAAAGATAAGGAGGGCTGTGGGAGCTTGTGATGGTCGACTTGCATATGGAGGAAAAGAGGCAATCTAGAGGGTAGTAGGTAGCTGGAGGTGATGCGTGGGCAATTAAAACCTGAAGCTCCCTGGCATTGCAGAAGCACTGACAAATCCAGGAGTGTGGTCTTATCACGTGCCACTGAAAAGGAGGGTGAGTGGATTCTTTAGACCAAAGAACTGGGCCCATTCCTGTTTTGGTGTCAGGATTGGAAAGAACTGATAGAAAGGTTAATCTTGAACCATGCAGTAGACCTTAATGTCTTTCTTAGTGTGTTTCTGAACTGTGAGATGCTCACATGCCACGGTCCCCAGGTGATCATGGCAGTCTGCTCATGTGTGTGCTATGTCTTAGGGTTTTTTCCTACTCGAGCAAGTTTCTATGATTTTGACATGTTTGTATTTCAAAAGGGAGAGCTGTCAGCGGCAGGTACATGAAAATGGCATTGCGGGTATCTCGGCCTGAGCAGGAATTCTAGGAGTAGTTTGAACCAGATTAAGGACAGAATTTTGAAAACTGCATAAATGCAAATATTCTGGCAGCCTTTATGACAGAGCAGAAACATCCATTCCTCCAGTCTCTCCACAGAGAGAATACAAGTGAGAGGCACCCTCGTAAGTTCTCAGAGGAGGAACTCTGGTTCAGGTCCAAGTCTACAGTTTGGGGCTGGCTGCCTCTAGTCCCTGCAGTAAGCAATATGTTGAACATCATTATTATAACTTTACAGTAGCCTTCACCAAGGAAGGGGCAGGAGGAGGGCACCCTCCCTTACTTTTGTTCGTATTTTATCTCAACTCTTCTAAAAACCTAGGGTCTCAAATCCTGAGCTTTTGCCAAACCCCTTCTTGGATATCCCATGCTTTATTTCTCATAACCAAAGTAAAGAAACTCTTTAAATAACTCAGCGTGATATAAACATTGGCTGTTGATGTGGTTCTAGCTCCTCGGTGATTTCTGTAATCTCTAAAACCCTTTGCTTGAGAAACTGCAGCCTCTAATTGCACTGACTTCCAGCTCACTGTTGAAAGGGGAGATCAGATTGTGACCGTCTTGGTGTCCTCCTCATCATTTAGTCACCGGGGTGGGGTGGGGGGTCATGTATAGAATTGTATTGATTGTATCTTGGATGTGGATTAATAAGGTGGTGCAGGAGTCCCTGGGGACTACAGGAACAATTTGAAAAGCTGAGAAGTGAGAATCCTCCCCAATACAAGGAATCAATAGATAAAAAAGTATGAAGGAGAAGTTTGTGCACATGGGGAAGAGATCCGGAAATTCTCTATGCTGTCTCATGTGAATTCTGGATGGAGAAAACTGAGAGCTTGCAGGGCATGCATGAAATAGTAGAAAAGAATTGACCCTAAATAAATGGCGGTTAAGGAAGATTTTTGCCTTAAGCTTGGAGGAGTGCTTCAAGAGATGTGCAGTGAAGACAGTGACTGGGTTTCTGGTCTAAGCCAGTAAAAATGAAAAAATGTAAGCCATTTTTATACTTGTAAGTTCAGTGTATGAAATTATCACTCTATTTTTAAGTCTGGCCAATTTTAGCACTCAATTTTAAGGAGACTTTAATGTTTGCATACAGTTTTACACTTAGATATCTAGATTTCCCTTTAAACATCTGAAACTGTATTTATGAATTTTTATATTCTTCTTAAGAACTTCAATTAACTGAGAAATCATCTCAACTTATTAAGTTATTATTAACAAAATTGAATTTATTAAACTTACAAATGTGGTGAAACTTAAGTTTCCTTAAATGTTCCAATA